ATACCCAGTAAGAGCTTCTACCAAGCTGATGGGCTTCCTGATGAACAGATCGTTGCCCTTCCGAGTGAACTCAGTGTCGTCATGTTCCTTCTGTTTAAGGATGATGATGAGGTCGCCGGGCTCGACATCGGGGCTGCTCTCATCGGCCATTCCCCGGAAGGGTATCCGCTGACCGGACTTCATGCCCTTCTCGATGTGAATCTCGATGACCTCCTTGGACTTCTTAGTCTTGAAACTGCGACCTTGACCGTGACACTGTTGACAAGCAGACTGCATCTGTTGGACCATGGGACCCATCCGGACGGTTTTGATGGTGACACCCTGACCATCACAGGCATTGCAAGTGGTGATTGGTGAGGACCGGTCGATAACGACCCTGTTGATGGCGAGCTTGCGAGTGGCACCGTTATAGAACTGGGCTAAGGGGACTTCCAATACATGGGAGATATCCTCCCCTTTTCGAGGGCCAGTGGAGCGACCGCGGCCACCCCCAAAGACCATGTCGAAGATATCCTCGGCGTTACCGGGGCCCATACCTGAATGAATAACATATGGTAGCGACTCGGACCTGTTTTGAATCTTACCATCCTGGTCTACACCTTCCTCGCCGAACTTGTCATATCGCGACCGCTTCTGCTCGTCGCTGAGGACCTCATAAGCTCGGGTGAGCTCCTTGAACTTCTCAGGATCACCTCCCTTGTCGGGATGTTCTTTCAGCGCGAGCTTCCGGTACCTTAAAAATGGACCCTTGAGCCAGACGAATCTTCTACCACTATGGAGGGCTAGTAGCAACCCTAAATACACCCTCCTCCCCGTCAATGATACTTACGCCTTCTTAATTTCAGCTTTGGTCGCGTCTTTTTTAACGCCGAGTATGTCATAGAATTTGTGGGTATCTACGTCCTTCTTGGGACCACCGGCAGCCCCACCGAACATATCGTCCATCCCGAAGAACATTGTGTTCAGAAAATGAAAGGAGAAAAGGAACTAACGTAACTAGTCAACCGTTGAGGCATCACTATTAAACATTTGCGCACGCCATCTTGATCGATTATGAGCTTCGCTCCGCTCAAGATTTAGACCATGTTCAACAGGCATAAGTGGTGTTGCTCTGCTTACCTGTTAAATAGACCTTCTAAACGTCCATTTCGCTTTGAAAAGATCAATCCCCTGGGGCGGCTATGCCATGACCTAAAGATATGTCTTAATACAATCAATTTCGCAGCGACATATCTTGGGGCTGTGGCATAGCCGCCCCGTCCGAGATAGTTGATTTTTGTAATGGGTACAACCTTGAGTATAATACCACTCCTCCCTCAACTTCTGTCAGTTGTTATCCTCCCTCTCTATGGCCGTTGTCGCCTCCCCTACTGCCATGGAGGTGGTAGAGACCCCCAAAGGCAGTACTGACGCTGAGGACGTCGGCCTCGAGTACCTCATCAAAGAACCCATACCTTCCGATGAGAACGGTGGGGAGAGCTATGCTATCAAAGGCGTTGATTTCGGCATCATGTCCGGCGAGGAAATCTCTAAATACGGCGAAGTTGAAGTGCTGAACCAAGGCTATTTCGACCCGATGACCCACAAGCAGCTCGCTCTGGGTTGTCACGACCCTCGTCTCGGTGCTATGAATAGGATGAGCGACTGTCAAACCTGTGGGAAGAATTTCAGGAGTGTCCTGGTCACTTTGGGTCTATCAAACTGGTCTTACCCGTTTTCCACGTCGGTTACTTTCGCCACGTACAACTTCTCCTATCTGCCATTTGCAAGCGTTGTGGTAGAGTGCTGCTGGCGCCGAGAGAGGTCGGTGTGGTTGAACAGGACGAGGA